CCTTCGGTGGAGCTCCCTATGGGGCCACGAAACGCTGCCCTGGGTGGGGGAACCGCATGCGAACACCCCCACTGGGGCCTTCGGTGGAGCTCCCTATGGGGCACGAAACGCTGCCCTGGGTGGGGGAACCGCATGCGAACACCCCCACTGGGGCCTTCGGTGGAGCTCCCTATGGGGCACGAAACGCTGCCCTGGGTGGGGGAACCGCATGCGAACACCCCCACTGGGGCCTTCGGTGGAGCTCCCTATGGGGGGCCCTGGGTGGGGGGCATGCGAACACCCCCACTGGGGCCTTCGGTGGAGCTCCCTATGGGGCTACGAAACGCGTGAGAGGTGTGCCGTGAGCAGAGGCAAGGAGGGGGAGGAGGGAGGAGAGGAGGAGGAGAGGAACGCGGGGCACCGTCTCTTCAAAACGAGGACCCAACACCACAGGATGGTTGGGGAAAGAAAAAAAAAAAACGTACTGGCCAAAAAACGCTGTCAAAGAAGATAGAGGAAGTAGTAATAATAGTAGTAATAGCGATGATAGTGATAACGCTTGCAGCAGTAGTAATAGTGGTAGTAGTGATACTAAAGGTTAAACTATATGGAAATAAAACTCGAAGAGCAAATAATGGCAAGAATAGCAGCAATGAGAATAAGTGGTAACTTCACGGAATAGGAATAACAAAGTAGCAGCAGTAGTAGTAGTAGTCCTAGTAGTAATCGTATTAACAGCACTACTAATGACACTGATAGTAGTAGTGACAATATTAGTAGCAACGCCAGCGGCACACCAACTACGACTACTACTACTACTACTACACTACGACTACTACTGGTACGACTTCTACTACTACTACTACTACTACTACTACTACTACTACTACTACTAATGCCACTACTACAACTACTACTGATACTGCCACTAATACTACTACTACTACTACTACTACTACTACTACTTCTACTACTAATACTACTATTTCTACTGCTACTACTACACTAATAATTTGTACATATAATAATTGAAACAATCAACATGACCTCGTTTAACATTTCTGCGTTGTCTATACCGTTTATGGCGTTCGTTCTTGCCCATATTACTTGTGAGGCGCGTTCAAACAGAAACTACAAATCAAAGAACCTCACTGCACACTGCAAATCAACTTTCGAACATACATGCATAGCAAATATGTGCAACATTCGTTGGTAATCATCAAGGGTCGTAGTGTCTCTATATATATGTGGATACTTCACTTTAGCCGACATACAAGTGCCTCTCGAATATACCTTTGGCAAACTATAACTTGCATCAATTTAGCTTCACAACGACATCTGAAATATTAGCGTTCTAATGGATCAACATTGCATGCGGTTTCATGCGCTTAATTCTGGTGAAAGATATTTGAATAAATTTGACTCTAGAACGCCATTACGCGATACTTACATCCTGTTCATATACCAAAAACGGCATTGCTACAAACCTATAACTCTATTATCGTATCTTCTGACTTACATCAAATTCTACACTGTCTGTGAAAATCGTCGGTCTATTTGAAATAAGAAAGCGAATAACCACTAACATTTTACATATTACTGTAATGCGATGAATTCGATCGTCTTCCTGAAACGCCTATCTTTTTTACTTCATTAGTGTTTATGTGTCCGTCTCTCTTGTCTGAGCTATGAGACCTCCTCTGATTTTTGAAGAAATATATATGGGTATAGATATTGTTCACTAACTCGAGAAGCGCTGATATAACCTCTGGGTTCCAGGAGCTTCTGAGTCGTATGCCCTGGATATGAAATTGATTTAAGATCGATCATTCTCCTTTTACATTCAAAACGCCTACCTTCTAAGTCATGCCTCTCATTTCTGGTGGCGAACCGAAAAAATATACGCTTGCAATTTTCCGCCACGATGATCTCGGCTTGCTCTATTTGCCCTCGCTGTCACACTTGAGTAAATTCAACCGATTAATCAGACAACAGCTGTCAACGCGGCAAATTCGACCGAAAACATATCGCGCCTCGACTTGGCCCCGCCAATAAGGCGCTCGCTTTTTTTTTCTCTCGCAACGCAGCTTGCCGCGAATGAACCAAGCCGCACTGAAGTCTCCACAAAATCGAACCGCACTAGAAAATTATAGCTTTAAAAATTGCGGGAGGTAGATGGAAGGACACGGACAAAAACCAACATCATCTTTATACTGCAACTTTTTGGGATCGCTCGGCTCAAGAAAGTTGCGGGGACCCTAGCAAAAGCGACCGGGGCCCGCCAGCTTTCTCACTGCATCCTTCTGAGAGATGCCGGGAGTTGCAGGCGCCGAGCCTTCTGGCGCGCAGAAGCCTCAATTCGACGAGGCCGCGGGATAACATTGTAACATTATTCGCCTACGCCAGCACAACCCAGGAGCAAAGGCCGCCCTTTCTCCAGACAGCACAAGAAAAGCAGAAGCTGAGACACTCATGCACGAATCAGTCGGCAAGCAAACCGAGCAGCACGGCTCCTTTGCACCTGCTCCACCTTTTCCGGGTGGGAGCAGGAGCGCAGCTCTCGCCCCCGCCTCCGGCGGTCGCAGCGGCGGGGCTCCGCCGCACGCTGTTGCCGGAGCTGTGCCGCCGAGTCCCCCGGGTGCGCCTCTGGCCCCGGCGAGCCTTCCGCCGAGTGCCCTTTTTTTCTATCGGACCTCTGCAGCGCAGTTAACTTCACCAAGTCACATCGAAATAAAAACTTGCATCCAGGGTGGGAAAAAGCCTGTCTCCTACGGGGCCACCGAAGCCTGCTCGGCAGGCCGGCGGGGAAGTCGCAGGAAGACAAGGAAGAAAAAAAAAAAAGAGAAGAGAAGAGCAAGAGAAAGACAGGAAAAGAGAGGAAGAGAGAGAAAGAAAGAAGAGAACAAGAGCAGAGAAACCAGACAGCAACGAGAAGCAACGCGAAGAAAGAGAGAGGGAGGGAGAAGAGGGGAGAGAGGGGGAAAAGGGCACCAGCCCACAAGCACGGCGACCGCGCAGCGCGCGCGCCCTGCGCTACGCAGGCGGCCAGAGGAAGCGGAAAGAGGAAGGGGGGGAGGCAGAAGAACGACGAGAGACGGCAGCAGCAGGCAACGAGCCAAGCAAGAAACGAAGACGAGAACAAGAAAAGGATAACGAACGAAGACGAGAAAAAAAAGGGAGAAAAACAAGGACGGGAACGAAGAAGAACAGAGACGAAAGGAAGGAAGAAGAAGAGACGCAGAAAAAAAAAAAAAAAAAAAAAAAAAAAAAAAAAAAAAAAAAAAAAAAAAAAAAAAAAAAAAAAAAAAAAAAAAAAAAAAAAAAAAAAAAAAAAAAAAAAAAAAAAAAAAAAAAAAAAAAAAAAAAAAAAAAAAAAAAAAAAAAAAAAAAAAAACGTGGCTATCTCAAGAAAAACCGCCTGGGCACCCCACAAGGGCCATCAGGCCGCCGGGCGCCAGTTCCGAAAGCGGCGCACTTCGTGGAAGGCGAGCGGCAGACGCCACGAAAACAACTGTGGCCAAGTCGCAACCGGACCTGAGGCATAACACAAAAGCTCAAAAACAGTAGACGGGAATTCTTTCACGTCCTGGGCGCTGACAACGCTCTCAGGGAAAAGATTGTAGATACGAGCGCCACCGAACGTGGAACGAATTACATAATCTGGAACCCAAGCAGGGCAGGGATCGGCCACATGACGGAAATGCCTGGGAGGAGCGCTGAGGGAGACAAGAAATGAATCAAGTTGGAAGAATTCTTTAAAACAAGCTGGGCCGGCCCCAAGAAGAGTCCTGCGAATGAGACCCAGGTTAGCTATGTCTCTTCGAAAACACAAAAGAGCTAACTTAAAGTGGTGGAGTGCATCTAAATCAGAAATGCCCACACTGCCGAGAAACGAGCTTTGAACTCGATCCAAAAAGGCCAAGACGCAGTTTTTTTTTTTATTGTTTTATGTTTTTTTATTTTTTATTTGTTTATTATTATTTTTATGTTTTATTCTTTTTTATTTTTTTAATTTTTTAATTTTTTATATTTTTTATCACGCCTCGGGCAGCATGAACCACACCACAAGTCTGCGAGAGTGAAACATTCCGGCCGCGACCATCATCAAGACGGTTGCCAGTCTCTGAGAGAAAGCAAAGGGTGAAAAGCAAGCGGCCGGCGCCAGCTTAAAACCGTCTGCCAAGACGCCACGCCATTGCGAGCACAGGCAAGAACAAGTTCTTGCAAGTGAGATTGGAACTGCTTCACACTGCTTTGACCGATTATGCTGTCTGGCAATATGTTGTAGACACGAACGGCACCGAGCGGCGACCGAGAGACGTAGTCCGGAGACGAAGCAGAAATCGGAACCACCAGATGACGAATGTGCCGACGCGAGGAGGCGGAGGCGGAGCGGAGGGAGCGAGGAGGAGGAGGAGGAGGGGAACGAGCAAGACAGAAAAACTGCTGAAACAAATTTGGCCCTAGACCCAGCACCGTCCTGTGAATCATCCCAAGGATAGCGATGTCTCGGCGGGTTGCGAGAGGAGCCAGCGAAAACGACAATATAGCGTCAAGCTCTGACATATCCAATGCCATGAGAAAACGCTGTTGCACGCCATCTAGAAGAAGAAAGGAGGAGGAAGAAGCATGAGAGATAGCTGGCGTACGGTACTCCAGATACGATAGAACATGACTTTTGTACAACTGCACAAGCTCTCTTGTTGTGTAGAACTGCCGGCAAGACAAAATCTGAAGAGACCTCCAGCCTCCTTCACACGCACACTCACTGATCGCATCATGCATTAAAAGTTTACAATCAAATAAAATACCCAGAATCTTACAGTTGTTTCCTACTGGAGCACTGTGAGACAGGATGTGGAAGCTCTCTTTTTCTGACTCGAAAGTGACACCGTTCAACCGGCCCCACTTGTGAAGTTCCTGTTGGCACTCGCCCAGATGAGAAAACAATACATGATCGGGCACTGCATTGTCAAACAGTTTGAATGCATTAAGATCATATGCGAAAACTACCTCCTGGAATCCACAATTTACTATAGGATCCCGGGCGTCGGAATAGAATTCGTTCCAAAGGCTGGGACCAAAAACGGTTCCCTGGTAAACCATGTTACACATAGGAACACACTCTGAGACAGCTCCGTTGCACACAACATATGCTGACCTTGGGGCGAGCCAGTCTGAAAGTACCAATAAGATCTTGGGGTGAATACCTGACGCGGCTAGCTTCTTACGAAGACGCTCCGCCGATACCCTATCAAAAGCACCGGCCACGTCAGAACAATAGAGTGCAACCCGCCTACCCTCTCCAAAGGCGCGGAGCCAGCACATCGTGAAAAACAAAATTGCATCACGTGCGCCTCGTCCAGGCGAGTAGGCAAACTGAAATGCACCGAAGGATAAACAGCGATGGAGGGGAGGGAGGAAGATACTACAGATAAATCGTTCCACTGCTTTGGAGAGCTGGGAGGTCAGCTGCAGACCCCGATAGTGATCAGCATTATGTTGCGAATTACGTTTATGGAGCGGGTGGATCCAACGAACAGTCCAGAACCGTGGCCAGCGCCCACAACTGAGGATGAGGCGAGTAAGGAGGACAAAGGGCACGGCCAACTCTTCACAACACAATTTCAAGACTCGAGCTGGAATTAAATCTGGCCCCGTACCGCTATCGACGCGAGGATCCTTCAAAATCCTGCGTGCGACACGGAGGCGGAGAGGGGGAAGAGGAAGAAACGAGGAAGACGGAGGCGGAGAGGGAAGAGGAGAAAACGAATTCGTCTCTAATGTAGGAACGTGCCATTTCGAACGAAAACTCTGCGCAAATAGGTTTGCCTTCCCGGCCGGATCCACGATCCAAAATCCTGAAGAGGAGCGGAGAAAAGGGGAAGAAGACTTACTGATTTTCGATAGCAACTGTCTAGAAAGCTGCCACCAGCCTTTCGATCCCGCCTTCAGCTGCTGAAGTTTGTTGCGAGTACGATCGATGAAGGCACGATGTGCAGAAAGAAGATGCCGACTACAAGCTCGCACCGCCAATGGAAAATCTGGCGTGCCAGCAGTATCGCGTTTTGCCCGGATGCTGTCCAGACACGCAGAGGTAAGCCAAGGATGGGAAGAATTCATACGGATTGACGACTGCGGTATGTGAAGCTGCATGGCACTGAAAACCTTTTCCGTGACAGCGCGTGCTGCCGCGTCAGGCGAAGATGCCGGAATAAAACTCCAATCAGTATTGCGAAAATCACAACGCATAGCCGACCATCGCGCTTCCCTATACTTCCAAACCGGACGGGAGACAGAAGAAACCGAGAGAGGCGGGAAGGACAAAGAGACAAGAACAAGACGATGGTCGGCAAGCTCTGGCAAGACTGTAGTAGAGACTTGATCTGGAAGGTCGGTGAGAACTAAATCCAATAAATTCGGGCCTCGAGTGGGCTGCCGAACCTTCTCTTTGAAACCGTGCATCGTGCACCAATGCTGCATCGCCGCACCCTCCGGAGTAACTCCCCTGAAGAAACGCAACCATCCAGTGCGATGTATGTTCAGATCTCCTACCACGACCGTGCCTACCGCAAGATTCGAATGCGCCGCCCATTCAGCACTGAACGCATTGATGCTTGCGATTTCGCCGTACTGGGGTGGACGATACCAACAAGCAAGCAAGACTGGACCTAGAAGCGAATGATATAAGAACCAGATGATCTCAGCTGAGGAAGAGCGAGAGAGAAGAGAGAATAGACTGGTTGAACAATCTTGCACAAAAACAAGAACACCGCCACCATTCCTGTTACGATCACGGCGCTCCAAAACTGTGTAATGCAAAAGCGATGGAATGCTGCAAGCGCTGTCTAGTTTCGTCTCATTCAAAACGAGAACGGCAGGAAAAAACGGCAACAACGCAAGACGACCTTCCAGCTCTGCCTTACGAACTAAGAAACTATCGATATTTACATGAAGTATGGTAAGGCTTTGTGAAACAATAGACGGATCGGATCCGGATTCTCGCGGATCCCCGTCTCGAGGCAAATTGCGTGAAGAAGACTCTGAACTTCGAGCGAAATAGCTCGTCAATAAACGCTGCGAGAAATCGATGCGAGAGAGAGGAACAGAAGGAGGCAGGACAGAGGACGAGGGAGAAGGACGAGGAGGAGAACTGCCTGTCAGCGAACTCGAAAGAGTACCTGGCTTGCAACTGGAGGGTCGACATTCCACGGCAGAAAGCAATCGATTCCGACACTTTTCAAGCGAACCAGCGGATCTTGGACCACGCCGGCGGAGACGAGAAGATACTGCAACACCCGGGGACCGCTCACAATCCGCATAGCGGAGGGCGTGGGTAGAGGAGAGGAGAGGATAGTGAAACAAATAAACAGCCCCCCAATACCCCTATTTCAGGGACAGATTCAGAAAAAGATGCAAAAATGCTCCCTGAAAATCAGTATTGGACTGCTGAAAGGCTTTCGCTCCGTCAATCTGCACAAAACGGTTCTTAAAATCGGCCTCGACAGCCTGTCCGGGAGCAGCTGCCTTCAGAAGCTCTCGTGCTCGGCCGAGAGCCCAATCACGATGCTTGTTAAACTTGGTATTGGCTGCCCGGACGCGAATCGAACCAGACGAACTAGCGAAACTTACATTCCGGGACTCGTCCAAGAACTTCTTCCGATTATCTTCAGTCAAGAACTCGATGATACAGTCTGGGCGTTCCGGGGCCCTTGCATGAAATGACCCATGGAATACTGAGGTAAGCTGGCAAACTTCAGCATGCACGTCTCGATCTCACGAACGCGATCCTGTAAAGAAATCGAAAGCGAAAAGCCCGAGAACGCCACCTGCCGATTCGCCGGGTCGATCGAATTAATCATCTGAATCTGCTGCTTACTCAGGCCTCCGCTGGAAGACGGACGCGACTCAAGAATTTTAAAACGACCACGAATCTCTTCCATCTCATCTTTCAGGGGATCGACCGCTTCCGAAATTGCAATTTTGGTTTCTGCCGAAATCCGAGTGTGCAAAGTGTTGATGTCGTCCTTGGTTGCCGTTTCAGCCTTCGAACTCATGTTCGTCATAATATAAATCAATTTCTCGTCTATTGAAGCAGACGCCGGCGGGGGGACGAAACCCGCGCCCGCTCCCAGGGAACGAGACCCGCGCCCGGCCCCACCCGAAGGGCCGGTTCCAGGTGCACCGGGAGCCGCATGCATGCCACCCGAGGGCCTTTGCACGCACCGGAACCGCCACGCGCAGGAACAGATCCGGGAGCGGCCGCCAAAAAAGAAGGAGCGCTCAGCTCACCACCGGTACTGCCTCCCATGCAAGTCCCGGGAGACGCACGCACGCCACCCAAGGGCCTTTGCATGCACTGGAACTGCCTTTCGATAGGCCGGCTGGGGGAGCAGTCGCTGCAAATGCAACGGCGCTCGGCTCGTTCCGCTTCCGACGCCTGGAAAGGTGGGCGCGGAAGTAAACTCCACCTTTGATTGACTTTCACATGCGTCCATAATATCATCAGTTCGAAGCTTTTTCTGTTCTGCCGTATCCCCAGGGGAACGGGCAAAGGCAGCTTTCACAGCATTGGCACGATCTGACAATCGACTCAACGGCCCCTTCCCGACACCTGCACTGGAATTCGCCCCAAAAATGCTCTGGGTAAAATCAATTCTCTCGCGAAATACGGCACAGCGACGCCAGACATTGCGAACGAACTTGAAAAACTGAGATCGTATTGGATGGTTAACCGCCAGACAAAAGATACACCTTGAACCTTAAGCCATGAGACAAAAAAATTAGACGCGTGTGTGGAGACAAAAGTTCTCTGTCCGATGAATCATAAAAATATGCTAGCAACGATTTCAGATAAATCGGATTGCAAGTTCGGTGGTACAAGTACGTGTGTTCGAGATATCTCTCAATCGTATTTCTCGTATTTTAATTTTTATGAAATAAAATCTTTTGTTTGTATTGATTATGAAAAACGTTTGGTTTTAGAATATTTGCAAGATTCATAGGTGATTTCAATGTTCGAATTATTTAAAAAAAGACGTTATCGAAAAATTGCGCCTAATTGTTCCGGAATAAAAAATATCTCTTCATGGAATTCCGAAAAATAAAACACATATTTTCGTTAATGAACGCTTAAGAATTGAAGAGAGAATAAACAATTTGAGCAGGAAAAACGAAAGGAAACATAAATAGCATTGAATGGTTGCGGTGCCGTTCCTCTGACGTTTTTTTTCCAATCACATTAATTGGTCTTACCCCAAGAAAAACAACTAGGTGAAACCAATTTAGAATTCCATTTCGTTTTTTTTTTTTTTTTTTTTTTTTTTTTTTTTTTTTTTTTTTTTTTTAAAAACATACATTACATTTCTTAACAAAATTAGCGATTTCGTTTTTTAGACTTAGCTGGGACATCGCTTTTTGTATTTTTTTAATTTTCAGTAATGAAAATCGATTCGATCGAATTTCAAATCGCACGGTAGGACAACAACCGTATTGGTGGTTATTGTTTCATTCCGATTGTGGTTCCGTGCGTTTCGTGTCGACGTTCTGGGAACAATTTGTGTTTGACAAGGTAAACTTTTTAAGTTATCGCAATGTTCATAACTAGCAATCAACATTTGAAATCCGTCCTGATTTAGACATTGTGATACGCCAAAGAGGGCATCAAAAATGCACAATCATGTTCGTTTCATGGTTCCAAACAAATTTTTGGAGCACCGTAACTGAAAAAACGAACCAAGCAACAAGGATCGATTTCATCCGTATTTCGGATTGGAATTTTGTATCATAAAAATTTTCGAAACAATATTGCGATCGCATTCGTTCGAACCTTCCTTCATGCCTTGTGTCGAGGCTCGCATATTTGTTGGCGGTCATCGAATTCATTATCTGTTGAATTGATTGGACAATTCGCGTTGACGAAAAGTTGATTTTTCGCCTTGTCGTACAAAGATCGCCAACATGTTCCCGTTGCGAACCGCAATGAAGTATTTTTTTTTGCGTACGGTCAATATTGTTATATTTTCCAAATTGTCAATATGCCACCGGTCCAGAACGCATGCGTATCCGTGTTTCAAAATTTTGTTTGGTTTCTTTCGTTTTTTATTTATTTGTCCTTCTGTTCTCAGATTCGAAAATCATCCTTTTGGTGGTGATTAAATAGATGCGATATCGTTTTTTGGGGTCCTGCTGAAGCGGTTGTCGCGCAAATTTGTGTTATTTATTTGTGGCTAGCGCTTTCCAGAAAGAACTTCGAACGACTTGTGTTTTCGGTTTCCCGTTCGTTTATGTGATGTATTTGCCAGCTGGTTCGGCCCATTTCGATTTTATTTTCAGTGTCGCTCGGAAGCCATGATCAATGTTCTTCCAAGAAATCATTCATGTTGATGATTTGAATGCTCTTATTTTTTGTTTTCCTCTCGCCTCCGATGCTTACGTTTGCGTTGGTGCAACAATGTCGGAGCTGTGGGACCGTGCACACGCAGATTTTGTGAGCATTCTTTTGAAAATTTGCACATAGTCTCGCGGAGCCGGCCGACAGAAAACACTTTGAAATGTTGATTTCGATTGTAAACGTAAAATGAGAGATGCGATGCAGAGCTCTCTGTATGAATGTGGCTAGAAACTGCACTCGTTAATGTGCACGCAACGTTTCAGAGAAACGCCGTCTTGTCCTCTATGACAAAGGATTATTTAAACTCCAAGCTGATATATCCTTCTTAAAACAAACCAACACTGATTACACGAACATCTCGCAATTCGATCATCCGAAAAATTAACCCAATTCTCAGAATCATTTTTTTGCGAAATACATTAAAAAATAACGTTAATATATATATATATATATATATTTATATATATTATATATATATATATTATATATATATATATATATTATATAATATATATACATACACTATATATTACATGATTTTACCTTATATCACACACACACACACGCACACGCACACACACGTATGTATGTATGTATATATATATATATATATATATATATATATATATGTATATATAATCTACGTCCTCTCATAAATCTATTTGTGGATAACAATGCACACCGATCAGATAGATCCTGACTGTGCTAATAAACGGTGTGCTCAGAGAAAGATCACCGCACTTCGAATAGAAATTGATCTGGGCCGAGGTCAAATTAATACTGATTTATAATTCTGAGAATCGTACAGATCGTAAAAATCATATGAATAGTAGTAGTAATAGATATGACAATACTAATATTAAAAGTGATAGTAGTACCGAGCAGCAAATAATAGTGACAATAGTAATCGTAGTAGTAGTAATAGTAGTAGTATGAGTAGTATGAGTAGTCGTAGTAGTAGTAGTAGTAGTAGTAGTAGTAGTAGTAGTAGTAACGGTAGTAGTAGTAGTAGTAGTAGTAATAGTAGTAGTAGTAGTAGTAATAGTAGTAGTAGTTAGTAGTTAGTAGTTAGTAGTAGTAGTAGTAGTAGTAATAGTAGTAGTAGTAGTAGTAGTAGTAGTAGTCGTAGTAGCAGTAGTAGTAGTAGTAGTAGTAGCAGCAGCAGCAGCAGCAGCAGTAGTAGTAGTAGTAGTACTGGGAAGAGTTCCCAATGTGGGCACGGAGCGCTGTATTGGATGGGGGGGCGCATGCGGGCGGTAACACTTGGGCCTTCGGTGGAGCTCTTTATTGGGGCCACGGAACGCTGTGTTGGGAGGTGGCTGACGCACGCGGGCGGTCCCACTGGGGGCTTCGGTTGGGCTCCCTATGTGGCCACGAAGCATGTGAAAGGTGTGCCGGAATTCTGGACATGCGGAAGGCACAGGTAAGGGCTGGGAGGAGGAGAGGAGGAGGAGGAGGAAGAGGAGGAGGAGGAGGAGGAGGGGAGGAGGAGGAGGAGGAGGAGGAGGAGTGAGCAGGAGGAGGGAGGGGGAGGAGGAGGAGGAGGAGAGAGGAGGAGGAGGGGGGGGGTAGGAAGCAGGAGGAGGGGAGGAGGAGGAGGAGGAGGAGGAGGAGGAGGAGGAGGAGAGGAGGAGGAGGAGGAGGAGAGGAGGAGGAGGAGGAGGAGGAGGTGCGGGGGAGGAGGAGGAGAGGGAGGAGGAGGAGGAGGAGTGAGGACGAGGAGGGAGGAGGAGGAGGAGGAGACGGAGGAGGAGGAGGAGGAGGGAGGAGGAGGAGGGGAGTAGGAGGAGTAGGAGGATTGAGGAGGAGGAGGATGAGGAGGGGAGGAGGAGGAGAAGAGGCAAGGATGAGGAGGAGGATGAGGGAGGAAGGAGGAGGAGGAGACGAGAGGAGGAGGAGGAGGAGGAGGTACGAGGACGGGAGGAGAGGAGGGGACGGAGGACGAGGAGGAGGAGGAGGAGGAGGAGGAGGAGGAGGAAGGGAGGAGGAGAAGGTGCAGGAGGAGGGAAGAATGTGGAGTCGTGAGGCGGAGGCGGAGGCGGAGGAGGAGGCGGAGGGAGGAGGAGGAGGGGAGGAGGAGGTGCAGGAGGAGGGAGATAGGGAGAAGAAGAGGAGGAGGGAAGAGGAGGGACGTGGAGGAGGATGGAGGAGGAGGAGGTGAGGAGGAGGTGGAGGAGAGGACAAAAGGAGGAGGGGGAGAGAGAAGGAAGGTGGAGGAGGAGGAGGAGCGGAGGAGGAGGAGGAGGAGGAGGAGGAGGAGGAGGTGGGTGGAGCGAGGAGGAGGAGGGAGGCAGAGGACGGAGGAGTAGGAGTAGGAGTAGGAGTAGGAGTAGGAGTAGGAGTATGAGGAGGGGGAGGAGGAGGAGGAGGAGGAGGAGGAGGAGGACGAGGAAGAGGAGGGAGAGGAAGATGAAGAGGAGGAGGATGCGGATGAGGATGAGGAGGAGGATGAGGAGGAGGAGGAGGAGGAGGAGGAGGAAGGAGAAAAACGATGAACGAACGAACAAACGACTAACGCGGGGAGCGTCTCGTCAAAACGAGGACCCAACACCACAGGATGGCAAGGAATGTATTACCCTGTGACGTACCTAACCCATGTGCATCAACTAACAAGAAGAATCGGCCCAAACTTGCCATGCCAACGCAATGACGAAGCAACATTCATGGGATGCGCTCGCGTGGTACGGCTAATAAGACAACGACATAAGGACGAATAGCGGGGGCCCAAGCTTGAGGAAGACATGGGGGGGAATGGACAACAACATACAAACGCGTGGGGGGCCGAATTGCCAGCACGGCAACAGCAGAGGGAGTGTGGCATGGGGGCAACACACGACGACGAACGTGATGGGAAGAAGTCAACGAGCGTTGCTTTTGTCGGTAGTGCGCTGAAGATCCAGCGCTGCCTGCGCCATGTCGCCGCGGCGCTCGACAAAATGATTGAACCTGCTCATCTTTCGTGCAAGACGCGAGCGAGGCCTAGCTCGCCCGTCAACTTCCTTGCTTCCTTCCTGCACTTTTCAATGCGGGAACTAAACGCTCGAAAGCGCGCCGCGCCGCCAAAAGTCTGCGGGCGGCCAGCGACAACGCCCCGCTGGACCCCCAGTTGCTCTCGAAAATGGCGGCACTTTTGCAAGTCGCAGCCCCCCAAGGATGATGTCGAATCTGAGTCTGCGCAATGCGTCATTACGCTGGACCCCCCCAACAACCCTCGAAAATGGCGACGGTTTCGAAGATCGCAACCCCCCAATGGCGAAATCAAATCTGGGTCTGGGTGGTGCCTCATTCCGCTGAACCCCCCAGCAATCTTCGAACATGGCGCCAGTTTCGCAGAGCGCAACCTCCCAAGGATGGTGAGGTGCAATATGAATCTGGGTGCTGCCTCGCTCCGCTGGACCCCCCAACAACCCTCGAACGTGGCGATAGTTTCACAAATCGCAGTCCCCAAGGTATGACAAAGCTAATCTGAGTCTGGGTGGTGCCTCACTCCGCTGAACCCCAGCAGCGCTCGAAAGTAGCAGCGGTTTCGCAGATCGCAGGCCCTTGGGGATGGCGAAGTCTAATCTGAATCTGGGTGGTGCCTCAATCCGCTGGATCCCCCAACAAACCTCGAAAGTTGTGACGATTTCGCAGATCGCAGCCCCCCAAGGACGGCGAGGTCTAACCTGAATCTGGGTGGTGCCTCACTCCACTGAACCCTCCAAAAACTTTCGAAACCGGTGACGATTTCGCAGATAGCAGCCCTCTGGGGATGGCGAGGTCAGTCTGAATCTGGGTGGAGCCTCGCTCCGCTGGACCCCGCTGGACCCCCAGCAACCCTCGGAACTGGCGGCAGCTTCGCAGATCGCAGCCCCCCAGAGATGGTGAGGTCTAATCTGAATCTGGGTGGTGCTCACTCCGCTGGACCCCCAAGCAACCCTCGAAAGTGGCGACAGTTTCGCAGATCGCACCCCCCCAGGGATGGCAAGGTCTAATCTGAGTCTGGGTGGTGCCTCACTCCTCTGGACCCCTCAACAGCTCTCGAAAAGGGCGACAATTTCTCAAATCACAACCTTCCACCGATCATCCGGGCATGACGACGCGATAGGAGGCAGGGTAGCAAGCAAACAGAAGGGATGGGGGGAAAAGAGAGGCTGGAGAAGGTGTGCGACCACAGTGCTCTATTCAAAACGAATACCCAACGCAGGAAGGTTGGGAATTACGCACACCTTAATGAGACACCTAAGCAATCTTGGATTCCTGCTGTCGCACTTTTACACTAAAGCCGCTAACCTTGTGATGGTGAAAAAACAACTCTGGAAATCGGATCGATTCCAGAAATATCCAAACCACCTGCGAGTAGCACGAACTGGAAACAACCTTTTGTGGTAATGTGATGCTCTTTGTATAAACCTAGGTCTGAATTCTGAAAACCGATCTTCGAAGAAACGGCTTGCAATATCATATAACGCCCACAAACTTCCAATGCTTACTTTCTTTGTCGATTCCGATTCCGGAATATGCTTCGCATACTATTCTCGATCCCGATCCCGATCCCAACTTCGGTTCCTCTTCCGCGAACATCATCCCGTAATACTGTTATCCTATTATTCCTCTGGTTGCTGTCTTTTCGCAACTCTATTTTCAAACCGTACATATCTACCAAACAACATGTGAACTAATACCTTTGTGCCGGAAGTATATGTGTGCATATAATAACCCGGGGACGTATCCGAACCTTTTAAGCATGTGGCGAATATAGATTCGATCGCTCGATACAATAGGAACCATTGAACGGTCCGCAATGCCCTTGAACGGTTCGCCAAAAGAAATCGGGCTAGAGTCAGATGTTTCACATCTGCGGCGTCACTCTTAAGAGTCAGGTCGTTGGCAAGAGAGAGAACACGAGGGGGCGTGGAAACATGTGGAAGAGGGGCGATTGGAAACATACTTCGGGGGAGTAGTTACGCCTCGCGCTGTGTTCGCATTGCAGGACAGCGCTCTGTGCGCTATGACAGTACAACGCCTTGCGCTAAACATAGCACGTGCCCGCATGCAGTACAAGCAACAGGCAGCTGAAGAAGGGATGCGGCATGGGCAGCGGACGGCTCCATGCGCTATTCGCTGCGCGGCGCTCGCACGCCGCGATGTGCGCTCTAACAGCGCCATGCGCTATGCGTCGGGGAGAGGTCGTGCGTCCACGGGGCGATGATAAGCAGGGCTGGGATCACACCTGCCCGTGCCTCATGTGTTCAGCTCTGTGCCCAACTGCCGCCGGGTTTATATACCCGTCCGCTCATGCTTTATGGGACTAGTGGCGACAGTTTCGCATCGCAGCCATCCAATGGCGGCGAGGTCTCGTGGTGATCTGCGTGGGACAACCTTCCGCTGGACATCCCAGGAGCCTATGAAAGTGGCGACAGTTTCGTAAATCGCTGCCCCCCAAGGGGCGGCGAGGTCTCATTATGATCCTCATGGGACACCCTTCCGCTGGACCGTCCGTCCTCCCAGGAGCCCACGAAAGTGGCGACAGTTTCGCACATCACAGCCCCCCAAGTGACGGCGAGGTCTCGTGGTGATCCCCGTGGGACACCCCTCCGCTGGACCTCCCAGGGGTCCACGAAAGCGGCGACAATTTTGCAGATCGCAAACCCCCAAGGGACGGCGAGGTCTCGTGGTGATCCCCGTGGGACACCCCTCCGCTGAACCTCCCAGGAACCTGTGAAAATGGCGACAATTTCGCAGATCGCAGCCCCCCAAGGGACGGCGAGGTCTCGTGGGGATCCCCGTGGGACACCCTCCGCTGGACCTCCCAGGAGCCCACGAAACTGGCGACAGTTGGGCAGATCGCAGCCCCCCAGGTGACGTCGACGTCTCCTAGTGATCTGCGTATGACGTACCTCCGGTGGCCCTCCCAGAAGCCCACGAAAATGGCGACAGTTTCGCAGATCGCCACCACCCATGGGGACGGCGAGGTCTCGTGGTGATCTGCGTATGTCGTACGTCTGGTGGCCCTCCCATATGCCCACGAGATTGGCGACATTTTGACAGATCGCAGCCCCCCAGGGGGCGGCGAAGTTTCATGGTGATCTGCGGAGGGCGGGGGATTCTCAAGTGGCGGTCTACGGCATCCCATTTCTCAAAAACCACATTCTCGCCTCGGCGCCGCGCGCATTAAAACAAATGGCATTCTCGTCTCGACGTTGCGCATATTTGTTGGTTCAAGTGTTGTTTTTTTTGTTCATGGGGGATGGGTGGTGGCGTGTCGTTTGCGAATTTCTCATGTCGGCTCAGTATAGACGCTCTGCCTTGAGGACCCCCATTGACATTGCATGGCTTGGTTTGGCATAGGACTTGCGCTGCATTGTGTCGGCAGTGCGCTGGCCTTGCGCTTGGATTGCGCTGGCGACTTCCGTTGAAACCTCGACAGAAGGAATTTTATGAATCCCGCCATAAGAAGAACTCCTAGTACCCCCTCACCGCAATACCAATTCATATGGAATCCTGAACCAGAAGGATTCCTATGTTCAACCCCTTTTCCCCGCGCGCAGACACAAAGGATTCCTAACCAAGTCCTCCACATAATATTCGAATCCAAATCATCCACAGAAGGGTTCCTAGTTAAATACGGGAAAAGGAATCAATATCATCCGTATCGAATCGCAGTGAATCGGGATTGGCATACAACGACCACGTGCTGGCATTGCACTGGCATCGGCACGGACTTGCATAGAATTGGCAGAGCAGCGGCATGTTGACCTCCTCCACAGAAGGCTCGTACTGAAATCCTCCATTGCAGGATTCCTAGTTCAATCACCCACAGAAGCATTACCACTGAAATATAGAGGGCAACATATTCATTGGTGTTCCTTGGTATTGCAATGGCCTTGCGCTGGCAAAGCGCTGGCGTAGCATAAGCATTGCCTTGGAATGGATTTGGCATTGCACCACTGTTGAGGCCCTTCGTAGACGGATTTCTATTGAATTCTTCAGAAGATTCCTACCGAAATCCTCCATAGCTGGATTCCTAGCTCAGTCCTCCACAGAAGGATTACGATTGCACGATAGAGAAAAGGATTCATTGGTGCCCTCTGGCATTGAATTGGCCTTGCGCTGACAGAGCGCTAGCATAGTACAAGCATTGCCTTGGATTCGACTTGGCACTGCATTTCTCTTGAAACCCTTCATACAGGGATATCGATTGAATTTCTCAGCAGAAGGACTCTTACTGAAACCCTGTACCCCTATAATAGGATTCCTAGCTCAATCATCCACAGAAGGTTAGCCATTGGAATATAGAAGGACAAGTATTCATTGGTGCCCCTTGGCATTGCATTGGCCTTCCACTGGTAAAGCGCTGGCACAGCACAAGCGCTGCCTTGGAATTGCCTTGGCACTGGACCCTTCCCGAAGCCCAGCATCCAATGATTCCCATTCAATTCCTCCACATAAGGGGCCAACTGAACTCCTCCATGACAGGATTTCTGGTTCAGTCCTCCACATAAGGATTACTATTGTATTTTTTTAAAGCGTTGTGTGGTGCCCCTGGGCATTGCATTGGCCGTGCGCTGACATAGTGCTGGCATAGCACAGGCATTGCCTTGCAATCGACTTGGCCTTGCATTTCTATTGGGGCCCTTCATACAGGGATATCTATTGAATTTCTCAGCAGAAGGACTCTTACTGAAACCCTCTACAGCATGATTCCCAGTTCAATCATCCACATAAGGGTTTCTATTGAAATGTAGAAGACAAGGGTTCTCTGGTGCCCCTTGGCATTGCATTGGCCTTGCGCTGGCAACGCGCTGGCACAGCACAAGCATTGCCTTGGAATTGCGGTGGCAGGCATTCCCTTGAAACCCTGCATATCCGGAATCTAATTAGATTCCTCCGCAGACGGTTCTTACTGACACCCCAAAAGTAGGATTCTTAGTTCAATCATCCACTGACGGTTTTTTATTGACATATGGGACACCTATTCACTGGTGCCCCTTTGCATTGCATGGCCTTGCGCTGGCACAGCGCTGGCATAGCACAAGCATTGCCTTGGACGTGAAGTGTTATGGTATTCCTCTTGAAGCCTTCATATAAGGATTCCTATTACATTCCTCCTCAGATGGCTCCCATTGAAATCCCCCACAGCAGGAGTCATATCACATTCCCCAACAGAAAGCTCCTATTGAAACCCTCTATATCAGGATCCTTAGTTCAATCATCCACATAAGGTTTCCCACTGAAGTATAAAAGACAAGGGTTCACTGGTGCCCACTGGCATTGCATGGGCCTTGCGCTGGCAAAGCGCTGGCACAGCACAAGCATTGTCTGGGATTGCGGTGGCATGCATTCCCCTTGAAACCTTGCATACCAGGAATCTAGTGAAACTCCTCCACATAAGGTTCTTGCTGAAGCCCCGAGAGCAGGATTCCTAGTTCAATCATCCACATGAGGATTTCTATTGAAACATGGAACAACGATTCACTGGTGCCCCTCTGGCATTGCATGGCCTTGCGCTGGCAACGCGCTGGCATAGCACAAGCATTGCCTTGGACGTGAATTGCATGGCATTCCTCTTGAAGCCCTTCATCGAAGGATTCCTATTACATTCCCCCTCGGACGGCTCCAACTGAAATCCCCCATAGCAGGACACCTATTCAATCATCCACATAAGGATTTCTATTAAAACATCGATGGGAAAAACAAGGTTCATTCCTTTCGCGTTGGATAGCGTTGAAAGGGGATTGACATTGCACTGGCCAAGTGTTGGTGTTGCACTGACACGGTGCTGACGACGCATTGGCACGGACATGGCGTATAATTGCATAGCATTGGTGTTCCTTGGCATTGCATTGGCCTTGCGCTGGCAAAGAGCTAGCGTAGCACTTGCATTCATTAGCATCGTATTCCTATTGAAACCCTCCACAAACAAAGATTTTGATTGAAAGCCCTCCGCATAATGATTCCTACTGGAAACCTCCACAGGAAGGCAGCATAGCATTGGTGCCCCTTGGCGTTGCGATGGGCCTTGGCGCTGGCAAAGCGCTGGCACAGCACTGTCAGTGCCTTGGCATTGTCTTGGCGTTGCGTTCATATTGAAATTATGCAGCACATCCGTATCGAAACCCTCCACAAACGGATTTCTCTTGAAATCCTCCACAGGAAGCTATTGGAATCCTACACAAGAAGAGTTCCCGTTGAAACCCTCCACAGAAGGACTCCTACGAAATCCTCCGCGCAAGGATTCTTCTGGAAACGCCCGCAGAACGATTCCGATTTCGAATCCTCCGCAGAAGGTTCCTATTGAAATCCTTCACACAAGGATTTCCGCTGAAATCCTACATCGAAGAATCCCACCAGCCCTCTGGGCGTCGGTGGTTTAGGGCGTTTCCTCTTCCACCCCTCCCTCTTCCCCTGCGGGGAGGGGTTTACCCCTCCCCCTCCCCCCTCCCCACTGACCTGGACAGGAGGGGCGGGGAGCGGTCAGAGCGTCCAAAACGGCCTCGGCGAGGAAGCCAAAATCATTGATTTTACTATGGTTTTGGCCCCATTTTGGCCTTCTGAGGGGGCAGCGCTAATTAGAGCTCCCCTCT